TTTTTTTTTTTTTGTATTTTTAGTAGAGTCAGGGTTTCACCATGTTGGTGAGGCTGGTCTGGAAATCCTGACCTTGTGATCCACCTGCCTCAGCCTCCCAAAGTGCTGGGATTACAGGGGTGAGCCACTGTGCCCGGCCTCATTTTTTTTTTTTAAATGGCTATACTTCATTGGGTATATGTACCACAGTTTCTTTATCTGTTCCATCTGTTAATGGACACTTAGGTTGCTTCCAAATTTTGGCTATTGTGAATAATGCTGTAGTAAACATGGGAGTACAAATATCTTTTTGATATACTGATTTCCTTTCTTTTGGGTATATACCAAACAGTGGGATTGCTGGATCCTGTGGTAGTTCTACTTTTAGTTTTCTGAGGAACCTCCAAACTGTTCTCCATAGTGATCATACTAATTTACATTCCCACCAACAGTGTATGAGGCTTCCCTTTTCTCTACATCCTCACCAGCATTTGTTATGGCATGTCTTCTTGATAAAAGCCATTTTAAATGGGGTGAGGTGATATCTCTTTGTAGTTTTGATTTGCGTTTCTGTGATGATTGGTGATATTGAGCACCTTTTCATATACCTGTCTGCCATTTGTATGTCTTCTTTTGAGAAAAGTCTATTCAGATATCTTGCCCATTTTTTAGTCAGATCATTAAATTTTTTCCTATAGAATTACTTGAGCTCCTTATATATTCTGGCTATTTATTTATTTGCTTTTGAGATAGAGTCTCATTCTGTAGCCCAGGCTGGAGTGCAGTGGCACAGTCATGACTCACTGTAGCCTCAACCTCTGGGTTCAATCAGTCCTCCTACCTCAGCCTCCCAAGTAGCTGGGACAGCAGGCCCGCAACACCACACTTGGCTAAATTTTTTTGTTTTTTGTTTTCTGTAGAGATGGATTTTCATCATGTTACCCAGGCTGCTCTCAAACTCCTGGGCTCAAGCAATTCACCTGCCTCACCCTCCTAAGGTGCTGGACATGCAAGCATGAGCTACCACAGCCGGCCTCCATATACATTTTAGGATTGTTTTTCCTATTTCTGTGAAGAATGTCATTGGGATTTTGATAGAGATAACAGAAAAAGAGAGAGAGAGATTACTTTAGATTGCTTTGAGTAGTATGGACATTTTAACAATACTGATTCTTCCAGTCCATGAACATGGAATATCTTTCCGTTTTCTTGTGTCCTCTTCAATTTCTTGCAGCAGTGTTTTTTAGTTTTCATTGTAGAGGTTTGTCACTTTGGGTAAGCTTATTCTTAGATATTTTCTTTTTTTTTTTTTTTTTTGAGACGGAGTTTCCCTCTTGTTACCCAGGCTGGAGTGCAATGGCGCGATCTCGGCTCACCGCAACCTCCACCTCCCGGGTTCAGGCAATTCTCCTGCCCCAGCCTCCTGAGTCGCTGGGATTACAGGCACGTGCCACCATGCCCAGATGATTTTTTGTATTTTTAGTAGAGACGGGGTTTCACCATGTTGACCAGGATGGTCTCAATCTCTTGATCCACCCGCCTCGGCCTCCCACAGTGCTGGGATTACAGGCTTGAGCCACCGCGCCCGGCCTTGATATTTTCTTTTATTTGTGGCTATTGTAAATCGCATCACTTTCTTGATTTCTTTTTCAGATTGTTCACTGTTAGCATGTAGAAATGCTATTGATTTTTGTTGATTTTGTATCCTGCAACTTTACTGAATTTGCTTATTAGTTTTAATAGTTTTTTGATGGAGTCTTTCGGTTTTTCCAAACATAAGATCATATGATGAAGCAGGGATAATTTGACTTCTTTCTTTTCAATTTGGTTTTCCTGTATTTCTTTCTCTTGTCTGATTGCTCTAGCTCGGACTTCCAGTACTGTATTGAATAACAGTTTTGAAAGTGGACATCTTTGTCCTGTTGAAGATTGTAGAGAAAAGACTTTCAGTTTTTCCCCATTTGGTATGATACTAGCTATGAGTTTGTCATATATTGCTTTTATTATATTGATATATGTTCCTTCTACCCCCAATATTCTGAACGTTTTTATCATGAAGGGTCAGCATCAGTTGAAATGATTATATGTTTTTTTGTCATTCATTTTGTTGCTATGATGTATCACACTGAATGATTTTTGTATGTTGGTCTATCCTTCCTTCCCTGGGATAAATCCCACTTGGTCATAATGATTTTTTTTTTAACATATTGTTAAATGTGGTTTGTTGATTTTTTTTTTTTTACATCAATATTCATCTGGGATATTGGCCTGTAATATTCTCTTTTTAATGTGTCTTTGTCTAGTTTAGGTATCAGGGTAATACTGGCCTTGTAGAATGAGTTTGGAAGTATTAACTTTTGCATCTATTTTTTAGAATAGTTTGAGTAAGATTGATATTAGTTCTTTTTTTTTTTTTTTTTTTGAAAATCACTCCTTTGTCTTTATTAAAGAAACTTAGAAAGAAACCAGACCTGGCAACTCAGGGGTGAGGTACTGGCCAGGAAGGTGAAGTGGGGCTCAGGCCCTGGGGATTTCAAGTGCAGCCTGATGGCCTGGGAAGGGCCAAGACACCAGATCCTGGCAGCAGCTGAGGAGGTACCCCAGGGCGCTTTCAGGCACTGGGGCCATCAGCTGGTTCTGTGGGCAGGGGTTGGGGGTTGGGATGCAGGGTTAGGTTGGGCTGGCCTGGAATCTCCCTGAGGCCACCCTGCCTTGTCTACCTAGATCATCCATTGGTCCTGATACTGTTCGTTGCCTTCCATGTCTACCTCATTGACCTCTCCATCATCAGGTGACTCACTGTAGTCATTCATTTCATCCATGTCTTGCATGTCCTCATCATCCTCTGAGTCCTCTTCACTATCCTCATCATCTTCTTCCTCGTCATCATAGTGCTCTGATGCTGGCTTGCCAATAGGAACCAGGTTGTTGTCTTTCTCTGCGATGGTTTGGAGCCAGGCCTGATGCTGCTGTTCCTGCTGCTGCAGCTCTTCTACACAGGGTCGACCCAGATTAAACCACAATGTCTCAGTCACACAGGGGAAGAGTAAGGGAAACAAAGTGGACATGGCTCCTGGGTTTGAATCCTGGCTCCACCACTTACTAGCTCTTTGACCTTGGCTGAGTCACTTAACCTCTCTGGGCCTCAGTGTCTTCATTTCGGGGAGGCGACGGCCAGCAGCTGGTATTAGTTCTTTTAATATTTGATAGAATTCATCAGTGAAGCCATAGGGTTCCAGACTTGACTTTGCTAGGTGACTTTTTATTATGGCCCTTGATCTTGTTATTTGTTATTGATTTGTTCAGATTTTGGATTTCTTCATGGTTCAGTCTTGGTAGGTTGTATGTGTCTAGGAATTTATCCATGTCTTCTAAGTTTTCCAGTTTATTGGCCTATAGTTGCTCATAGTAGCCAATAATGATCCTTTGAGTTTCTGTGGTATAGATTGTAATGTGTCCTTTTTTTGTCTCTGATTTTAGTTGGATCTTCTCCCTTTTTTTTTTTTTTTTTTTTTTTTTTTTTTTTCTGGCTAAATGTTTGTTTTTTTTTTTTTTTTTTTTCAAAAAACCAACACTTTGTTGTATTATTATTTTGTATTCTTCATTTCAAATTCATTTATTTCTGCTGATTTTTATTATTTATTTTCATCTAATTTTGGGTTTGGTTTGCTCTTGCTTTTCTACTTCTTTAAGATACACTGTTATTTATTTGAAGTTTTTCTTCTTTTTTGATGTGGCCACTTATAGCTATAAGCTTGCCCCTTAAAACTGCTTTCATTGTCTCCTGTAGGTTTTTGGTATGTTGTGTTTCTATTTGATATTCATCTGTTTCAAGAAATTTTTCAATTTCCTTCCTAATTTCTTCATTGATCCACTGGTCATTCCGCAGTATACTGTTTGATTTCCATGTGTTTGTATAGTGTCTAAAATTCCTCTTGTTATTTTGTTTGATTTCTAGTTTTATTCCATTGTGGTTAAAGAAGATGCTTGATATTATTTCATTGTTTTTGAATGTTTTAAGACTTGTCTTGTGATCTAACATATATACGGTTTATTCTTCAGAATGATACAAATGCTGAGGAGAATACATGTTCTGCAGCTGTAAATATCTATTAGGCCTATTTAGTCTGTAGCACAGATTAAGTCTGATGTTCCTTTGTTGATTTTCTGTCTGGAAGATCTGTCCAGTGTTGAAAGTGGGGAGTGAAGTCTCCAGCTATTATTGTATTGAGATCTATGCCTCTCTTTAGCTCTAATAATATTTGTTTTATGTATCTGGGTAGTCCAATGTTGGGTGCATATATTTTTAAAACTGTTATATTCTCTAGATGAAGTGGCCCCTTTATCGTTATATAATTATCTTCTTTCTCTGTATGGGTTTTGTCTTGAAATAAATCTATTTTGTCTGATGTACGTATTGCCACTTCTGCTCTTTTTTGGTTTCCATTGACATGGAATATTTTTTTCATCCTTTTATTTTTAGTCTGCTGGTATCTTTATAGGTGAAGTATGTTTCTAATAGGCAACAAATCATTATGTCTTGTTTTTTCATCTGCTTAGCCACTCTAGATCTTTTGTTTGGAGAATTTAGTTTATTTACATTCAATGTTTTTATTGGTAACTAAGCTCTTACTCCTGCCATTTTGTTTTTTGTTTTCCGGTTGTATTGTGGTTTTGTCTTCCTTCTTTCCTTCCTTCCTATTTCCCTTTTAATGAAGGTCATTTTCTCTGGTGGTATCATTTAGTTTCTTGCTTTTATTCTTTGTGTATCTGTTGTATGTTTTTAGATTTTAGGTTATCATGAGGTTTGCAAATAATATCTGTAACTCATTATTTTAAACTGATGACAACCGTGATTGCTTATACAAAAAACAAGCAAGCAAGCAAAAAGAAAATTAAAAAAAAAAATCTACACCTTAGCTTTTTCTTCCTGCTTTTTAATTTTTTGTTGCCAGTATTTTTATCTTACTGTACTGTTTGTTTTGAAAAAATGTTGTAGTTATTTTTGATCAGTTCATCTGTCCTTCTGCTAAAAACATGAGTTGTTTACACATTACAGTTACAGTGTTATAATAGTCTGTGTTTTTTAAATGTATTTACTATTAAAAGTGAGTTTTGTACCTTCAGATGATTTCTTATTACTCATTAATGTGCCTTTCTTTCCTGACTTAAGATACTCCCTTTAGCAATTTTTTTTTTTTGTAAGACAGGTCTCGTGTTGATGAAACCCCTCAGCTTTTGTTTATCTGGTACAGTGTTTGTTTCCTCTCATATTTGAGGGTTATATTTGCTGGATATACTATTCTAGGGTACAATTTTTTTTCCTTCAGCACTTTAAATATATCCTGCTGCTCTCTCCTGGCCTGGAAGGTTCTGTTGAAAAGTCTGCTGCCAGGTGTACTGGAGCTCCATTGTATGTTTTTTTTTTTTTTGCTGCTTTTAGGATCCCTTCTTTATCCTTGACCTTTGTGAGTTTGAGTATTAAATGCCTTGAGGTAGATTTATTTGGGTTAAATCTTCCTGGTGATTTATATCCTTCTTGTACTTAAATAATGATATCTTTCTCTAAGTTTGGGAAGTTCTCCCTTATTATCCCTTTCAGTAAACTTTCTACCCCATCTCTGTCTACTACCTCTTTAAGGCCAATTACGCTTAGATTTGCTTTTTTGAGACCATTTTCTACATTTTACAAGCATTCTTCATTCTCTTCTATTCTTTTTTTTTTGGTCTCTTTTGTATATTTCATATAGCCTGTCTTCAGGCTCAGTAATTCTTTCTTCTGCTTGATGAATTCTGCTTTTAAGAGAATATGCATTCATCTCCAGAATTTGTACTTGATTCTTTTTAATTATTTCCATCTCTTTGTTAAATTTATCTGAAAGAATTCTGAATTCCTCCTCTGTTTTATCTTGAATTTCCTTGAGTTTTCTCAAAACAGCTAGTTTGCATTCACTGTCTGAAAGGTCCTATGTCTCATGATACCTTGTTAAATTCATTTAGAGAGGTCATATTTTCCTGGATGGTCTTGATGTTTTTGGATGTTCATCTGTGTCTGGATGTTAAAGAGTTAGGTATTTATTGTCTTCGCAGACTGGGCTTGTTTGTACCTATCTTTTTTGGGGGAAGGATTTCCCCCAAAGGGACTTGTGTGTTGTGTGTATTCAAAGGGACTTGTGTGTTACGTGTATTCAAAGGGACTTGAGTGTTGTGACCTAAGCCTTATTTCCATTAACTGCACTCTAAGTGCAGTCAACACGTTAGTTCTTGCAGACACAGTGGTACTGCCTTGATAGTCTGAGATGAGATCCGAAAGAATTCTCTGGATTACTAGGCAGAGATTCTTGTTTTCTTCTCTTACTCTCTCTCTCTCTCTCTCAAACAAATGGAGTTTCTTTCTTTATGCTGAGCTACCTGGAGCTGGAAGTGCGGTGACAGAAGCCCGCCTGTGATCACCACCACTGGGACTGCACTGGGTAACACCAGAAGCTACCACAGCACTGAGTCTCACTCATGGCTCACTGTTACTACTACCTGCCTACTGCCTATGTTTATCCAAGGCTCTACAATCAGCAAATATTGAAGCCAACCAGGCTTCTGACCTTTTTTTCAGGGTACCAAGTTCCCCCAGGTCGCAGGCTAGTCCAGAGATGCCTTCTGGGGGCCAGGAACTAGAGTCGAAAACCTTGGAAATCTACCTCATGCTTTATACTATTGCAGCTAAGCTTGCACTCAAAGTGCAAGATGAAGTCCTTCTCATTCTTTCTTTCCACAGGCAGAGGAGCCTCTCCCCATGGCCACTACCACAATAGGCCCATGGGGTGGACTGCCAGTCTACTGCTGATTTTCACTTAAAGCCCAAGGACTCTTCAGTCAGCTTGTGGTGAATGCTGCCAGGCCTGGGACTCATCCTTCAGGGAAGTGGGCCCCCCTCTGGCCTGGGACAGTTTCAGAAATGCTGTTTAAGCCGGATGCAGTGGCGCGTGCCTGTAGTCCCAGCTACTTAGGAGTCTGATGTGGGAGGATTGCTTGAGCCCAGGAGTTCTGGGCTGTAGTGCGCTATGCTGATGGGGTGTGTGCACTAAGTTCGGCATCAATATGGTGACCTCCTGGGAGCGGGGGATCACCAGGTTCCCTAAGGAGGGGTGAACCGGCCCAGGCCAGAAACGGAGCACGTCAAAACTCCAGTGCTGATCAGTAGTGGGATTGCCCCTGTGAATAGCTACTGCACTCCAGCCTGGGCAACATAGCAAGACCATTTCTCTTTAAAAAAAAAAAAAAAAAAAAAAAAAAAAAAAAAAAAAAAAAAAAAAAAAAAAAAGAAAGAAAGAAAGAAAAGAAAAGAAATGCTATTTAAGAGTCAAGACCTGGAATCAGGTCCCCAAGAGACCATTTGTTGCTTTACCCTACTGTGGCCAAGCTGGGTACCTAAGGTGCAAGACAGAGTATCTTACTTTTCCCTCTGCTTTTCTCAAGTAGAAGTAGTCTCTCACCAGAGCCATCATTGCTGGAGATACGCTGGGTCTCACCTGAAGCCAGCATGTCTCAGAGTCTCACCCAAGGCCCGTGGCATATTACCGGGCTATTGCTGATGGTTATATAGGGCCCAGGGGCTCTTTAGTCGGTAGGTGATAAATCTTGCCAGGACTGGGTCCTTCCCTTCAAGGCAGTGGGTTTCCTTCTGGCCCAGGGTATGTCTAGAAAGGCTATCAGGAAGCTAGGGTCTGGAATGGGGACCTCATGATTCTGCCCTATCCTCTTGTGGCGGAGCTGATAGCGAGGTTGCAAGGCAAAGGCCTCTTTACTCTTCCCTCTTTTTAACTCAAGCAGAAGGAACGCATCACTTTTGTTTCTGTAAGCTGCACGGCTTGGGGTTGAATGAAGGTGGTGCAAGCACTCCTTTAACTGCTCCAGCTTGTGTCTCACTAGGTTATGTGCCCCCCATGTTCATTGTCTCCAGAGCACTTGCCATAACTTAAGTTCTGGCCACTAGGATGGGCAATTCCCTTCTGGCTAGGGCTGGTCTAAATGCTCCCTTTGGGGGTGGGTGTTGACTGAGTTCCACTTAGTTTTGCTTTTCACTGTGACAGAACAACTCTTAGTTCAATGCACAGTCCCACAGAAACTGCACTCTCCCTTCCCCAAGTTCTCAGATTCTTTCTCCATACCACAGGGCCACTGGGGGATGAGGGAGGGGGGTGTCGATGATTCAAGATCATCTTTTCTACCCACTTCAGTGCCTCTTTGAGCAATATGAAGTTAATACCAGATACTGTGATTACTCACCTGATTTTTGGTTCTTATGAAGGTGCTTTTTTTGTGTAGATAGTTGTCAAATTTGACGTTCTATGTGGGTGAACATCTGTAGAAGTTTCTGTTTTCCATCTTGCTCCATGCCTCCAATGATGGCTTTTAACTCTCCCAAGATGCAAGACGTTTTCATCTATTCTTTTTTTGATAAGCTTAGAAATTTCTATCCTGTCTCTGGTTTTCTCCCTGACCTTGTTTAAACATTCATGTTTTGCAGTCAGCTTAAATGTCATCCCTTCAGAAAGATCCATTCTATTTAAGCTATCTTGTCAGTGTTCCCTGTCTTATTTTCTTCTTAACATTCGTGATAATCTGTCATTCTTTTGCATATTGATAATCTGTCATTCTTTTGCATATTGATTATTTGTTGTCTTTCTGCACCACTAAAATATAAGCTACATGAATATAGGGATTATGCCTATTTTGATCATTCCTCTATTATTAACTCAATGCCTGGCATGTGGGAGTTACTCATGTATTTCTTTTGTGAATGAACTATTAAAAACAATAAGCTTAATTTTATAAAATGGTCATAAATGTACTCTAGATTTTGAATACATATAGGCCTCCAGTGATTATGGTGTGCTATATTGGGCACTGTGCCAAGTATTAGGAATACTAAGAAATTAAGCCCTCAAAGCTTTCTCTCTCTTTTTTTTTTTTTTTTTTTTTTTTTTGAGACAGGGTCTTGCTTCATCATCCAGCCTGGAATGTAGTGACAACTGTAGCTCACTCACTGCAGCCTAGAACTCCTGAGTTCAAGTGATACTCCAGCAGGTGCTTGCCACTTCGCCAGCAAGTGTTCTCATTTTTTGTAGATATGGGGTCTTAGCATGTTGTCCAGGCTGGTTTCAAATTCCTAGCTTCAAGCAGTCTTCCCAGTTTGGCCTCCCATAGCCCCAGGATGAGCCTTAGGCATGAGCTGCTGCCTAGCCTAATCCCACAAGGCTTTCTAGTTTTTTTAAAAAAGCTTTTGTTTGGGCACCACAGCTCACATCTGTAATCGCAGCACTTTAGGAGGCCAAAGCGGGTGGATCACAGAGATCAGGAGTTGGAGACCAGTCTGGCCAACATGGTGAAACCTTGTCTGTACTGAAAATACAAAAATTAGCTGGGCATGGTGATGCATGCCTGTAGTCCCAGCTACTTAAGAGGCTGAGGCAGGGGAATCGCTTAAACCTAGGAGTCAGAGGTTGCAGTATGCTGAGATTGATTGCACCATTGCCCTCCGGCCTGGACGACAGAGGGAGATTCCATCTGAAAAAA